GTTTCTTTATGGCAACTTCAACTTTTCTTTTGAGTGAGGGTGAGGGTGAGGGTGTTACATGTTTCTTCGGGAGAAGTTCATCTGTACTCTAGAGAAACTGGATATTTTCTCACACATTCGAGTGAACGACATCTCTTCAGAAATTCCATGTTTCTTCAGGGCAAATTCAGCTTTCATCTTGAGAAACTCGATGTTTCTTCAGGAGAACTTCGTCGGTGCTCATTAGAACTCAATGCTTCTTCAGGGCTTCATCCGGTTTCTTCAAAACTTTTGGGACAATCGATATTTCTTCGGGAGAAGATCATCTCTTCTCTTGAGAGACTCGATGTTTCTTCAGGAAAAGCTCATTTTCTCGCATGCGACACTCGATGTTTCTTCATGCCAACTTCAACTTTTGTTTTGAGAAGCTACACGCTTCTTCCGGCGAAGTTCATCTGCACAGTTTTCATTGCACGTCATCTTTTCTCGTGAGAAAATCGTTGTTTCTTCGCGGAAATTTTCGCTTTTCTCTTGAGAAACTCGATGTTTCTTCTGGCGATCGTCATCTGTTCTCATAAGAAACTGCATGTTTCTTCACAGCAACTTCACCTTTTCTTTTGAGAAACTCGGTGTTTCTTCAGAACAGCTTCATCGGTTCTCATGAGAAACTCCAGGAGCTTTCAGGGGAACTTCATCTATTCTCTTGACAGAGTGGATGTTTCTTCAGGAGAAGGTGACCTTTTCTCTTCAGAAACTCGATGTTTCTTCTGGAGAACTTTGTCTGTTCTCAAGAGAAACTGGATGTTTCTTTACGGCAACTTCATGTTTTCTTTTGAGAAAGTCGATCTTTCTTCACTAGAACTTCATCTTTACTCGTGAGAATGATTCTTCAAGGGAACTTCATGATTGCTCGTGAGAAACTGGATGTTTCTTCAGGAGAGTTCTCTTCGGTTCTCTTGAGAAACTCCATGTGCTTGGCACTCCCCGGTCCCGGGGAACTTCATCCCTTCTCGAGAAAGACTCCATGGTTCTTCCGGAGAAGTTCGTCTTTCTCTTCACAAACTCGATGCTTTTTCAAGAGGAGTTAATCTCAGGGATTGAAAAAATCACGCGAACTGCCTCTTTTCTTTTGAGAAGCTACATTTTCTTCCGGAGAAGGTTATCTGTACTCTAGAGAAACTCGATGTTTTTTCATAGCTTCGAGTGAACGACATCTTTTCTCTTCCCAAGTTCCATGTTTCTTCAGCGGAAGATCATCTTTTCCTTTCAGAGACTCGTTGTTTCTTCACGGCAACTTCATCTGTTCACCTGGCAAACGCGATGTTTCTTCAAGACAACTTCATCTTTTCTCGTGAGAAACTCGTTGTTTTTTCACCGTAACTACATATTTGCTCTTGGGAGGCTCGATGTTTCTTCCGGAGAAGATCATCTTTTTCCTTGAGAAACTTGATGTTTCTTCAAGAGAGCTTGATCTTTCCTCTTGAGAGACTCCATGTTTGTTCTGGAGAAGATCATCTTTTTTCTTGGGAGACTCGATCTTTCCTCACGGGAACTTCATCTTTTCAACTGACAAAAGCGATGTTTCTTCAAGACAACTTCAGCTTTTTGCTTGACAGACTTGATGTTTCTTTAAGAGAACTTCATGTTTGCTATGGAGAAACTCGTTGTTTTTTGCAGTGAACTGCATCTTTTTCTGCAGTTGAGAAGCTCCATGTATTTTCAGGGGAACGACATCGTTTCTCTTGAGAAACCCGATGTTTCTTGTGGACAAGTTCATCTTTGCTCTTGAGAAACTGGATGTTTTTTCACAGCAGATTCATCTTTTCGGTCGAGAAACTCGATGTTTCTTCTAGAGAACTTCATCGGTTCTCATGAGAAACTCGTTGTTTCTTCACGCGAAGTTCATGTTTCCTCTTGAGTAACTGCATGTTTCTCCAGGCGAACTTTCGCATAGATGAGGTCACTGTTTCATGGCGACGGTATACTTTACAAAGGAAAATTGATGGGTAATAATATGATTTACGAAAAATTTCTTTACTTTTTATCTGAAACGTTTATGCTACAGACTGTAAAAAAAGAGTGTGCGAAATTGGTATACGAAAAAATAAATGAATTGGAGACGTTTTTCTCTGTCTGTGTCACGAAATAGGTCACATACTCCTGGCACAGTTCGGTACACAATTATTTTACAGTGTACGGACGATTGATAAGTGGATGCTGTAACTATTGTTAACCTTCCGTTATGTTTATCTGATAGGAAGATAAATAACTCTTAAATGTCATTTATTTATAACAATCCGCTTTTAGGCATTGAAAATGTGGATGCGAAACGTGATGAGAATATGTGGATAGATTCTATGTTTAAGTTGAAAGCAGTTGCAAAAGCACGAGGCGAATATAAACAAATGGTTAAAATACGGCTAACACTAGCAGCTGGTCAGATCACCAATGAGCTCACAGGGGTGAAGTTCAACATTGATATTTTTCAACTATGACGAATACCATGTGTTATATTTTAGGAAATCATCGCTTCTCACGAAGTTGAACGTTTAAAAATTGTGGTGATCGATCTTAAAGATACCAGAGCCTTTGGATACCTTTACCAAACCACAGATAACAAATACCAGTTTTGGGCATTCAAAACAGAACGTGCGGTGAGCAGGAATAACTATAATGTATAATAGTACCATGTTACTTTTAAGTTTTAGGCTGGTTTAATTATTTCTGCGATCAACGAGTCGTTTAAAACAGCGTGCAAGCTGTTTATCGCGCAAGAAGAGAATGCGGAAAAAGAAACACGCCTGTAATAACGAATAATACTTTTTGATTCGTCGTATTATTCGACAAATATTCCTTACATTGATTAATATTTGTAAACATTTTTATATAATTAATTAAGTGTCCAATATCAGCTTTCGATTTGAATAATCATCAGTAGTAGGTTTATCAGAAAATTCCCTTGACTGTAAAGGAAAGGGTCTTATCGAGTTAAAATGCCTGTATGTATGTTTGTATGTTTGTATGTCCGCAGACTAGATACTAGCGACAGACAAACTAGTAGAGCAAAAGTTGATTGGCCGATAATGATATGGAGTAGGTAGTCAACTATGGGGAATCAGAAAATGCATACAAGCGACCTCTACTGTGAATCCTATTGGTCGAAAACATGATTTTCACTTGAATGAATGAAAATGATATGGAGTAGGTGGTTGAGTATGGGAAATCAGAAAATGGGTGAGTGCACCCTCTAGGATTGATGCCGTTGGTCGGAATGCTTTCTCACCTTCGTTGGATGAAAATGATGTGAAATAGGTATTCGACTATGGAGAATCAGAAAATGCGTATAAGTGACCTCTAGAATCGATTCTGTTTGTCGAAAAGTTCATCTCAATTTCATTGGATGAAAATGGTGTGCAACAGGTATACGACTATGGGGAGTCAGAAACTGAGCGTGAACGACCTCTACGGTCGATTCTATTGGTCGAAACTGTCATCTTAGCTTTACTGGATGAGAATGATGCGCAATAGGTATTCGACTATGAGAATCAGAAAATGATTTTGAGCGGTCTCTAGGATTGATTATATTAGTCGAAAACTTCTTCTGAACTTCATTCCATGAAAACGAGTCGGTATTCTACCATTCCATTGACTTTAGTCTAAAGTGGTCGTGGGTATGTGTGTGGAAAATATGGAAAAATGGCTTTCACATACTCCATATATAAGCTAATCACAAGAAAGCAAAATACAGAAAATTCTTTTATAACTACGAGATAGAAAGTATTCAGAGATGGCCGAAATATCTACTACTGCAGAGAAAGAAAAGCTAAGCAAACCTTTTCGTGTAGTTCAGAGGTGGATGTCGCTAGAAATCAGCCACGTTTGATAACACCAAAAAGTCATATAGGGCAGAACAAAAGTTAAAGAATATAGGTAGTCTATCATGGCGAATCGGTTAGTGATGCTTCCGCGGGCCTTGGCATCTTGATAGGGTATCCAGAAAACGTTTTATCTTGATATTAGATGGTGCGCTATTAGAGAAGTTCATAATATTTCTCAAGTATCCTGGTTGCGAACGCCGACCGAAGGAAGGCGTGAGCATTGTCTTCAATTTAGAAATAGTACTAGACCTCTTGGGATCTTTGGAGGGTCTCGTGAAAACCTTTTAGCATTACATTATATTAGGAAGCTTACACATCAAATGAGAGAAAAATTCACAGCATATTTTAGATAGTTCCCCCACTGTGTTAGGGCGTAGACACAAGTTATTAGCGGGCAGACAAACGTACACGTCAAGACATAATACTAGAGTGATTAGAAATAAGAATTTAAGAATTGGAAATGCCTTGCAAGGACAACGATCGTCGTCAGAACTGTCGTAGTAAGAACTGTCGTAGTACTAGCCTGCTGCTTGTTGAGAATGTTCTTCAGAATGTAATGTGAACAAGAAAGATAATTATTTTATTCTGTAGAAACAATTTGATACTGGTAATTCCTTTCCAGTCAAGGGATAAGTGAATCAGAATGATGAGCGCTACTTGTATTTAAAAGAGAACGCAATTAGATTGAAAAGAGAACGTTTTGAATTTTTTGGAGAACGCAAATAAATTGGGATAGAAAAGAGAACGCATTTTTAATTGAAAATAATTAATTTTTACTATTTTCTCAATTACTAAATATATCACTATACGGTTTCTGTGGTGTAGTGATACACTGTATGTCATGATATGCATATAGTGCTGGTTCGATTCTAGTCAGAGGCCACTTATTTATTTCTCTCTTTTTTGAAAAATTTGGATAAATTTTGAAAAAATTGAGGTCTTGTACTTACGGCCGTTTGTACTAAGACACACTGATAACCAAATAAGTAAGAATAACCATATAGGGCAATCGCAAAAAAGCATACTGAACAATGATGAACAAATAATGAATAACCATATAAGGCAATCACCAAAAAAACTGACTGAACAACATTCATATTAATATCGAGCCAACTATATATTTCAACTATACCTTTCACTGCTATGGGAATTCCAAGTACAAACAATGGACTGGAATCTTTAAATGGTAAGATCAAACAAATATATACACTTCGAAGTAAGCTTCCATTATCATCATTTCTTCCAACAATTGTTTCAATGCTTCAAGACTGGTCTCATCAATCAGTTAATAGTGGTTTTACCACATATCCAAGTATTGATACAGCAGCTGAAGCTCAAGCATGGAAATGGTCACAAGGTGTTGATAAAAATGCTATTGTGCATTGTTATCAACATAGTAGCAGAGAATTGAATTCTCAACAAAATTAGAGCAAAAAGTCTGAGCTAAAAGCCGCACAACCTGGTTAAATCTGGTAAACAAAAGGGCCGACCGCCCCTACTTTTCCAGTAGTTTCCACTTTTCTCAATCATAACGCAGTCAAAATTAAAAAGTAAGGTCAGATTTGGAATCAGCGTCAAAAACTGAGCCAGAAAATATGCGTCCCGCTCCTGTAGAATGAAAATAAATTTTGACGAATTTAGGAAACGGCTAAAAGATTATCCAGATTTTCCATAAATGACGTTCGTTTACAAACTTTGCGACTGAACACTTTACTTGGTTTTTCTCAGAAGCAAGTTATCATCACGTTTTAAACTGAAAACAAGTTTATTCCATGTTCGAAGGAACTTTTTTATTTTATGAGTCTGTAGGCGTGCGAAAAAATACTTTACAAAAACCATTTTTTCCATAAATCCCTGAGATGGTAAGAAAAAAAATTTTTTTCGTTGAGAAATAGCATTTTTACTAAATCAGAGACGAAAAACTCGAAATTCTGCTCGTAATTCTCAATTTTCTCGATTAGAACTCAACTTTTATCCAATAAAAATGTTATATTCGGAATCAGGATCAAAAACTGAGTAGATTGATATGTATTGCTACCCTATTCGACTGCTCTGATTTTTTTCGAATTTTCACGTTGAAAATTTTTAGTTCTAATCGAGAAAATTGAGAATTACGAGCAGAATTTCGAGTTTTTCGTCTCTGATTTAGTAAAAATGCTATTTCTCAACGAAAAAAATTTTTTTCCCAAAACCCCTCCTTACGGCTATAGCTGGAGTATAGAGCTATCGAATGGCATAAAATTCAATGAGTTAGCTCCTCACCAAAAAAAC